AAGGGAAATAATAACCACCCAGCACCCTTGCCTCCAACAGCTCTAATTGTAAGAGGGAAAGCAGAACGGTGATAAATATTAATTAGGTTTTCACTGTGTCAAGCATTGCACTGCCCCTTACGATGGGCATGTATTACTTGGGTATCAAGAGCTTCTCTGTTCTCACAGAAGGATCAAGCCAAAAAGTATTTTAAAACTCCACAAAATCCCCATCATTGGGTTGGGATTTTTAAAAACATTTTATTATTTTCTTAATTTTTATGTGTATGAGTATACTGTCTGCATGTATGGAAGTGCCCACGTAGGTCAGAAGAGAGTACTGAATTCCCCTGGAACTGGAGTTATAGATGGTTGTTAGTCATCCATGTACATGCTGGGAATTGAACCTGGGTCCTCAGTAAGAGCAGTCAGTGCTCTTCACCGCTGGGCCATCTCTTCAGCCCTAGGATTGGGATTTTTAGTGCATTCTTATATCAGAGGCTAGAGCTGAGCCTTCTTCCCTCCACTTACCCCACAAATTATCAAGTGCCTACTCTGTGCCAACCACTGTTCAAGACACTGGGGCACAGCTACAGTGAAAGGGGAGAGACATGCTATGGAGATGCCATGTCCCCCGGGGGAATACAAATAATAAACAAAAAAAGTATACAGACCAAAGTGCACAGGGTGGTCACACCAGGAAGAAAAAAAGCCCAGGGAAACAGAAGCCAGAAGGAAGAAACAAATAGGGTGTTGGAAAGGCCTCATCAAGAAGATGGAAGCTGAGGAAGAGAGAGGAAGGATCCAGGCAGACACGTGGGAGGCAGCATTCTAAGGAGAGAGACGGCGACAGAGACAGTGACAGAGACACGGAGAGATGATGCGGTTAGCCTGGTCAATGAAGGCCTCCACGGCTGTGAATGAGATGGGAAGAGGGTACAGGCAGGAAGACACACCAGGCAGCTATTGAAGTGTCAGAGAGGAGAGGATGGGGGGCTCCAACCAGAGCGGTCCAAGCAGATGAACAGATGGGAGAGTCAGATTCCAACGATATTTCGAAGACTGAACTCACAAGGTCTCTTGATGGATTGGTTGTAATGGCACAAGACTGGGGAAGGAGAGAGGGCTATCGATGTCTGCTTGGTTGCTGGCCTATGATTGATTCTACCTTGGCAACCAAAATGCTATCTAATGACAAAGATGAAGATGACTCTAGGAAAAGGGACTTTGGGTCAAACAATCCAGGCTCTGGATGCATTAAGTTGGAGATCTCTCAGACATTCAATTAGAGACGTGGGCCAGACAGGAGAATCGGCCAAAGTGGAGTTCAAGTGGTCCATGCTGATAAGTTTTTGTTAGACAAGAGCGGAGAAAAGTTACTTAAAGGCCAGCCATTGAGGAACTGTGTGTAGATAAAGAAGATAGGACTAAATTTTAACTGCACTGTGGACCTGCCAGGGCAATTACTGATTGGACAATCTCTCCATTGCAAGAAACAAACCGAGTGAAAATCTAAATGCAATCCATCTAAATAACACATTCAGAGGTTAATGATGTGCACCTCACCTATTCCAGCACTCATCTGCGAAGAAATCTTTAGCGCCTTTTGAGAATTAGATAATTATAGATAACCATTCCCTCCTCCTCCCCATCAGCTGCCCAAATAGTAACATCAACATTCTTGAGAAAATATTGTACCCGGGGCACAGCTTGAGTGTTGCTGGAGCCTATGTAGATCACACTGGGTAATACAGATGTGAAAGCATTAAAACCTCTGAAGTAAATGAGGTGAATTTCAGTTTGTTTTCTGATGTTCAAATAAAGAAGTCTGTTTACATCTATTTGATTGCTTAGCACAAAGTTTAGGAGCTTTACTAAAGGTGACCCATCTGTGACCCATCTGAAGGGACATGTTCTCAGAAGGCTGTCTCGTCTCATCAAGAAATCATTTAACTACATAAAACACACACACACACACACACACACACACACACACACACGTATATACAGTATATAAAAGACTCCATCTAATCCAAAGAAAAATCTAAAGCTGCATGAATAGTGGTTTTTTGAACATTTTCACTAAATGTGTAGGAGATGCTCACCTTGATTTAAATGTTATACTGCCCATGCATATGTCAAAGCAACACACACTAGCCCAGAAACATGTTCAGATTTCATGCTTTATGTGTCAGTCAAAAGAAGCTTAATAATAACAATAAAATATGACTTTGGACACTTTAAGAGGAAGGTGGGGAGATTAGGTAACCCTTACAGGCTTCCACATCTTACCTCATCTTTGATTATAGTAAAGACAATAAATATTGCAATCAGAATCAATACTGTGCATTTTCTCTGCAGGTTCACAGACGTTCTCACATTCACTGCTCCCAGGAAAGTCTTTAAGCAGTATTCACTGTATAGGCTAGAAAATCATGACGAAGAAAGGTCAAAGGTCGCAGGGCTGGTAAGTAATATAGGCAGAGCTTGTTCCCATCTTCTTTTCCAAACCTGCAAGAACGTTCTTTGACACAACAGCTGCTTACCATGAAATGCAGATTTCTTGTTTAATTATAAACCCTATCAAATATGGCTGTCATCCATAGACGCTTGTCTGGGTTCCATTAATAAAACCACTGTCGTGTTAGCTCTTCAGGAGGGTTACAAACTGCAAGGTCATCCGTTCACTCTGTAGAGCTCAGTGCATGTGTCAAGGGTACTCCAGGCCTGCCTGCTCTGGGCCACATACACTGTCCTACCTCTCTCTGAGCCTTATACAGCGCCCAGAATACACACGTGCCATGCTCTGCTGAGCTATATGCAGACTGGATTAATACCACCAACATTCCTGAGTTTGAACTCAGGGCTCTCCTGCCACTTCCCCAAAGCACATTTTACCATTTCAAGCAGGTTTTTAGCAAAACTCTGGTTAGCACTGAGTTCTGATGACCTTGTAATCAGCCTTCATATAATTATAGCACAGGAAGACCTTAGCAGTGCAAACTATAGATAAAGCCAATGGTAACAAGTAAGACCAGGTTTACCTGTTCAGATCCTGACTTTTACTCTGCGTGAGTGATAACTATAATTCAATGAATATTCTTGTGCTGATTTGAGTATTAACACAAATAAAATGAATACATCTCCAGAAACTGTACTCTCACTATCCAACATATTGTAAAATATAAAACAATACAAACTAAAGAGTTCCTCTCCCTTAATTTCTAATAAATATCTAAAACTATCGGCATGCACAGAGAACTACACTGTATCAATTATAATAATATAAAAAACTCAATTATCACAAACACAAAAGTGATGCCAACCAGTTCCTTCTATAAATCACCCTGTGTCACGATTTGGCATAAACTCTGATCCTCATGAACAATTCATATTTTGTGCATTAATAATGCACGTCTCTTCCTGTTGGAATGCTTGCTAGCACAGAATGAACGTCTATTGCCAATTCTTTCCATTGACATGATGGAGTAAATGCAAAATTAGAATCAAGATTTTTTAAAAGCTTCCTTTAAAACTGTGACAGTTGGCTGCCCACAAGGTAATAAATAGTATGAAGCTCTTATGATTTCTTCCCCTTTACATGGAAGGCACTTGGTTGAGGGCCTGGCCGTGGCTGTTTTTACTCATGAGAATATTTGCACAACAGAAGAGAGAATGAATGAAACTTTGGCAAAGCTGGCAGGGCTTGGGTGGGTCTATTACATTTCCTAATTATATATCCATAACAGGACATAACTGTGAAAGCATCATAACCAGGAAGAGAAGAAGGAAGAAAAAAGACAAAGGAATTTTATAACAATCAAGGCTGCTTCTCCCCAGCACACAGTCCTCTCTAGGTGGTTTACTATGGGTCATTTCTTTTCTTTTCAGTAAAATTATCTGGAACTTTTAAAAAAATTCCAGAGACTAAATAAAAGAAAGGTGCAGGGTGGCATGCTTTTGTAGAGAGGGGTGCTCGGGATCCCTCTCACTCACTGGTGGGGCCATTCTATCTCACGACTAAGTAAACTTTGTTCTCACAGCCCTGACTTAACCTCCACAGCATCACCCAAATGCAAACAAACTAAAACAGCAAGGGTATTTGATTCATGATAGAAAGAAATGAGGTAGTTTGAAACATAGGTACATATACATACATATATATGTATATATGTGTGTGTATATATATATATATATTTCCCCCCCCAGGGTCCTCCCCTCCCTAAAGACTGTACCATCAACCATCATTCAAGATCCAAAGAGAGGTACGCTGGTTCTTCCTGAAGTCCCCCAATCAAGAGCGATGGGAGGGAGACTTGGGAAGGGAGCCATCCTGTGTCAACACGGGTCCCCAGGTTACCTCTCTGATTCATTCTTTCATTTTTTAGCTCATATTTCTGAGGCACTTGCTCTAAGCCAGCACCATGTTCCAGGCTGAATAATCTTCCAGTGGAACCTCATTGTGAATTCCAAAAACGGAAATCCACCACCCAGGTTATAGGAGGGAAAACTCAGATCCAGGCGTCTGCCAGGATGGCCCTGTCCACAGGCAGTTCTGTCAACACCTGAAACACAGAGGGGAAGTTCTGGGGGTCAGAGTCGCTGACCTTGACTCCCCTTAAGGCATCTGCCCTCTTTCCTGGCCTCCATCCATCCCCTACAAAAGTTAAGTTGGCAGAAAGGGAAGCGGGGCACATCCGGCAGACTCAGCACCGCGCCTGGCTTTCCAGCTACAACTCCCATGGCTACCGGGAAATATTTATTCCCAGTCAATGGGGCTCCGGTGGCCACCATCAGAGAGCCAAGTCATCCGAGAGATAAAGATAGCTCCATTACATACCTAGACGCTGGCCTGAGCGCGGCAGCCCCAAGCAGCCCCGGAGACTGGCTGCGAGAGCCACCGCGCACGTCCCCGGCGCGCAGCCGGGGGACGGGGTGCTGCGCCCGGGATGCAGGCGAGGGATACCCACCGCGGACGGCGCGAGCCGGAAGGACCAGGCAAGGATGGGCTCCATACGTACCCCCAGGCGTCTGCTCCGGATCCTCACGTAGCCTTGCTTCACTATGTCATTAAAACTGGAAGCCATCCCAGACAGCCGGTGACCCCGCTGCCTCCAGCGCGCGGCACCCGGAGTGGCCTGGGGAAGGGATGCCGGGAAGGGTCAGGACGCAGACGGGGAGTGAAAGTTGGCGAGTCCGAGCGTCAGAAGGCGCGCATCACTTTCCCGGTCTCCCCAACCCTGAAACTGGCCGCCCAGCAGCCACTTTGGGGGAGCGCGGCGTCAGCTGACTTGGGCACCAGCCTGCCAAGAGGAGGAGCGGCGCTGCCCGGGCGCCAGCCAGGCCCCCAAGGAGGAGGAGGAGGCGGAGGAGGAGGAGGAGGAGGGAAGAGGAAGGAGCAAGGAGGGGCGGGAGGAGGAGCCGCGCGGATCCCTTCCCCCGGCCTCCGCCCACCTGCCCCCAGCTCCCGGATCTCGTCCTCCTGTCCCCCACAGCGCGTCCCCATCACCCCGGGGCCTTGATGACACCTTCCAAGAAGACGCAGCCCGGTCCCGCCTGTCGGATGTCTTGTGTGAGGGAGAGGACATCTTATTCGTTACCAGCCATTGCCTCCCCAACCTGTCCCTTCAGGCTCAATCCTTTTCCCAGAAGAGCTAATTAGGGGTGTGTGTGCCCAGGAAGGTGGCATTGTATGGCTTGCTTACCCGCGACTTTTATCTAGGAGGACAGAGCCCCATATACGTATCTTTATGCTCAATTCTTCCACGGAGGTTCCCCAGAATCCAGGGTCCAGGCTGGTGCTGTCAGTCCCCCTACTCCCACGCCCTTTCTTGTTTGAGCCAGTCCTTCCTTTTAGGACTTTAATTTTCCCAGGAGTAATTGTCCTCATCAATATTCTGTCCCCAAAGCCCAGCTTTGAGTAGGTGCTCGGTAAATCTTAAGACATCATCAAGGTGGCCAAGCAAGAGCCAAGCACTGCTCTGAGTTCTTTATATGCCTTAAATCACTTAAAGTCTTCAGCATCCATTCAGGTAGGGGACGCCCCTTTGTATAACTACCAAGTCGCTGTGTAACCCTCCTTAGCCTGACAACACAGCTCACCCTGATAGTGCTAAGATGGAGGAGGATGTGAGGGATTTGAGCTCACCTGCCCCTCCTGACTGTGCACAGCAAATTTGCCCAAATCACTGCTGACCACCCCCTCTGAGCACTAAGACATCACTAAGAGGAGTGCACAGGGTTTTGCATGAACGTTTTACAGAATTTGAAGCTGAAAAGAACCAGCCGCCCTGGGGGGGGGGGGCAGTGATGACGGGGACACAACAAGACACTTGTCCAACATCACACTGTGGGCCACCACGGGGCCTGGGATGGCACCCGGCCCTGTTTCGAAACATCATCCCATGCCTTGTGGGAAGAGCAGATGTCCTAAGCATGAGGTTATTTCTTCATCTCCAAACTAAATCCTTGCCATCCTTTAATGGTATCCACAGAGGCAAAGAGGATACCAGCAATTAGTCCATTCTAGGTCATCAGTGGTGGCCTTCCATCAAAGCTGATGAGTTGGGTGACCTTCAGTGAGTCACTGAGAAAACGAATCATCGGTTTCATGGATTCTTCAACCCGATGACATGAAAATCCTTTCAACTCCAAGATCGTGTGGGCCTTCCTTTCTCTGTGGCTAACACCATTTTAGTCACCACAACTTGTTGGGTGTTAGTCAGTCAAAGAAGAAGAATCACCCACGAATGTGTCACAGGCGAACTGAGGCTAAATTGGGACCATCAAAGGCAAATATTCCTATAGGGAGAACTCTTTGCTAGACTGTAAACTAGCCGCTCTGTCTTCATGTTTCTGTTCTGTGGGAAATGGTGCTTCAAGCTTCACTGTCTCACCCAAAGAGGACAAAACGGTAAAGTCATTCCAGGGGCTGCTTTGGAAGGGCTAGCATAATAATCAATACTCCCTGAAGACAGATTTTCATGAACAACAGCTGTCCAACACATCATTGGTAGTCCAAATCTATATTGTCACAGCAACAGAGAGTAAAATGAGCTTGAAGGGAGTGGCCCCTAATAACAGAAATAATAAGCAAGCAGAATGGATGAAGAAGTAAAGGAAATTCAAATCAAGCTAGAAAAGGTCAAACTAGATGGAAGAAACAAATGATTTTTAAATGAAAATTGAATGCAGCATATGGTTTTATTTGGTAAAAATCAAACTGATTATACATACATATATACATACATATATATGCATATATATATATAAAACTATGATATGGCATTTACAAGACAGTTCCTTAATTTCTTTTTTTAAATTTTTTAAATTTATTTTTTTATTTTGTGTGTATGAGTGTTTTGCTTGCATGTATGTAATTGCACCCATGTTATGCAAAGCCAGCAGAGACCAGAAGAGGGCATCAGATCCCCTGGAACTGGAGTTGCGGGTGGTTGTTAGCTACCATGTGGATGCTGGGACTCAAGCCAAGGTCCTTTGCAAGAGCAGCCAGCGCTCTTAGCCCCTGAGCCACCTCTCCTGCCCCACACTTCTCTTAAGTCAAACAATGCGCAATGATGACAGAAAGACAAAGAGATTCAGAGATACACAATCTAACAATGCCTACAGACTCACACTGTACTCAGCATGCGTAACTGCACCCTGTGAGACACAGTATCATATGAAAATTGCCTTCCCTGGAGATAAGGCTAACACACACACACACACACACACACAATTATTTCAATTCCTGTTTTTAATTCAATTTTCAACACCTATGACTTCCTGTTTATGGTATATATTTGTGTTCATTCCCATCTTCCAATTGTGGGGGTCTTGTTCACATTGTGTATAGCTTCCCTCTGCTCCCCGGATAGGTGTGCTGTCTTGTTGTCATGTGTGTGTGTGTGTGTGTGTGTGTGTGTGTGTGTGTGTGTGTTTGCCAGAGAACTTGCTAGCTAAGCTAGGCTATCTGGCCAGTGAGCCCCAGAGAACTGCGTGCAGCCACCTCCCTAGTGCTGGTATAACAAGCAGGTACCACCACACCTGCTTTTTCTGAGTTCAGGTCTTTGTGCAAGCACTTTACCAACTGAGCCATCTCCCCAGCTCTGCCTTGCTTTATTCACACTAATGGTATTTGGTTTAGACACAGGCACATGGTATCAGCTTTCTGATTGGAGTTCATTGACTGACACTGGCCTAATTCTGGGAGAGAGGACCCTACCCTACTGGCTGACATGCATCATGGATGGAAACAGTCAAAAGCTCCTGGCACCATCATGAGACCCCCGAGGAGAAATGAGGGGAGTGGGGTATGAAGAAGAAGCAGACTAGATCTCCATAGTCCTGCCGGACAGCACTTACCCAGTCCCAGAGGAGCTATTATGTTATTGAAATGGAAGTTAAGCTGGCCCCAAATGCAATGACTTATGTTACATGAAAGTAACAGGTGATAATCCAGGCTTGGCAGACTGACCTGGGCAGGTCACGAGCTTGTCCCATGAGGTCTTTCATCAACTAGGTTCAAGGATCACTCTGACTCCTCAGGCCATGATTTGCCTCTCTGCATCTATTCACTGCCATGTCGCAGGAAAGCGAAGATGGCTTGGAAGGAAAACAGCCTCCAGTGAAGGTAATCAAGACCTTTCTCTTGCATCCTGTGGACCAATGTGTTGCCACGTGGCCACATGTAGCTCCAAGGAGCCTAGTCTCCTCTGTCAGCTTTTCATCACTCTGACAAATATCTGAGGAATGTTTTGGGGTTCCTGGTTTGAGAGGTTTTAGTCCCAGATCCACTGTCTCTGGGATGCAGAGAACATCATGCAGAAGGGCAGGCCAAAATTTCTCCCTCAGGCAGGAAAGAGAGACAAAGAAATGGGCCAGGATGAGATACTGGCCACCAAGCCACATCCCCAATGAGCCCACCTTCTCTAGCCAAGCCTGGCATCCAAAAATTTTCCAAACCTCCCAATAATGCCATTAAATTATGATGCTGTCAGTGGTTAACCACAGGCCTTCATGAGCCACACATCTTTTTTTTTTAAATAAAAATATTATTGAGAATTTCACACATGCATATAAGGTGTTTTGATCAAATCCATGCTCACTCCCTCCCCTCCCATATCTCCCTATCACTTTTTTTCTGATAACTTCATGTACTCTTTCTTTTTCTTTAATTTTTTATGAGATTTTTGGCTATTCTAACATTATGCCTTTTGAAGAGGTAACCCTAAAATCTTTTAAGGATTAGATAAAAGCTCCCAAATATTTTCGACATTTTTGACCTTTGGAATGGCGTAGGTTGCTACAGTCTTGTTTTGGTCCAATGTTTTCTCATTATGCTACCATGTCTCCCTTTGAGAATGTCTTCTGATTTTTACAAGGGCTTACAGTTAAAGAGATTGCCTTGGGTCTCTGAAGACACTTTAGACTCTGGACTTCTGAATAGTGTGATTTGAATGAGAATGTCCTTCATAGGCTCCAAGTAGTTGGACATTTTTCCCCCAGTTGTTGACTGGGGACAACTCTTAACTATAGGGAGAAAAGAAAGTCCTTGACTGGTGCCTAGGAGATGTAAAGGAGAAATAAAGGCAAGAGTAATTAGCATTACAAGTTCTAGATAGGGAACTAGAAAAACGTCAGAACAGGGCAATTTTCAAATGTTCATACGAGAGTCCAGTGGAATTTTTTGACAAGGGTTTCCAAAAGCATCCCTCTACTGGGTTCCTCCTCATTTCTTTTTTCCAAGGCTGGACTCCAGAGTGATGGATTCAGGATTTGCTTTCAGGTATTTTGATAGCTGTTGGAGTGGTTAGAACTAGTGTCAGTTCCCTCTCAAAGGCTTCTGGATTGGGGGAGAAAACAAATTTGTCCATCATTTTAGAACAATAGCTGGTTGTCTCCAAAAGCATCCCTCTACTGGGTTCCTCCTCATTTCTTTTTTCCAAGGCTGGACTCCAGAGTGATGGATTCAGGATTTGCTTTCAGGTATTTTGATAGCTGTTGGAGTGGTTAGAACTAGTGTCAGTTCCCTCTCAAAGGCTTCTGGATTGGGGGAGAAAACAAATTTGTCCATCATTTTAGAACAATAGCTGGTTGTCTCCCCCAGCTACAGGTGGAATTTATTTTTATTCTTAAGTTCATTTGAGGATCTGTTCCTCAGGGTTAACATGGGCTTGGGAGGAGCCCCTGGCTCCTTTCTTTTACTAGTTCTATCTATGTGAAGATAAGTCAAAGGTCCTGCTTGACCATGTCTGGCTTCACTTGGAAGCGTGGATGAGATGGTTTCCTCTGAGTTGACCCCCCTCTTTGTAGACTGGACACTGGGTCAAGTCCATCTCATGGGGTCTCCATGGGCTCCCTGAACAAGAGA